TAGTAACATGCAAATCTATTTAGTTTTAATATACTTACTCCATTAGATCATCAAAAAAAATTAATTTCATAGCAACTAATCTGCCATATTGACATTCTCCACTTGCACATGATGCCAAGAGATCAGTTATATTGAGAAGAAGGTGACATTCATCTTTATGTTCTTCATTCTACATTAATAAATAAGCATAATCAATACTAATTTACTTACAGATTTAAGAATATCAAGCCAATTGACCTCTCTTTGCTCTCTTGGGCACAGAATATGCTGTAGGTAGTCATTAGAATGCTTTGAAATAAGCTGTGCAACATGTTCCTGTACTTGTACTTGATCTGAGTTCTGATATATTGAACATAATTATGTAAAATAATATTTTCTGTAATTAGATAATACTTCAATTATGGTTTGAAGCACAATAGTCCACTGGTAATGTCCATCAGCTGTACCATTCATAATAGCAGTATAAAATATCTTTCCAAGGTCGCTTTTGGTCAGTTTTTTGGAAAGATAAGAGTTACCATAAAAAATCTGACAAGTTAACAAATAAGTTTTCCTTGCAGACACTGCATGATACACTAACCTCATTAATCAGGCATATCATAACATTTGTAACTCGTTTGAATTGAAGAAAATTTAAAAAATAACGAAACATTTCATTTCGAACCTAAAGTAAAGATGATTACAATGATTTCAGTACAAAAGTCACCTTTTCACTTGATGCAGCAAGTCCTTGAAGCAGTTCAAAACAACAGCTAATCACTTCTTGTTTATAAAATATCGAATAAGTATTGTGCTTTAGGGTATATTCAAGAATAATATGAAACAATCCTACAGTATGAATTAGTCTTTCATTAAAGAACAAGGCTACTTTAATCACACTCACCAGAGTTATACACAAATTTCAGATTATTAACAGCAACATTTGGTTTAGATTTATCTTGACTGTAAAATCCAGTCAAAAATTTTATCAGATCTTCTCGGTCTTTTTCATTTAATTGCATTAGAAGCATTTTCTTAATCAGTTCTAACTCTTCACTTTTCATAGGCACAACATTCTCTTTGTAATTTGCAAAAATGGGCTTGTTTTTGTCAATTATCTGTTCTTTCATACAAATATCAAAGAGAAGAGATGCACTCATATAACTGATTTTACAGTTTTCATTTGCTATCAACCGAGACAGAATGTTACACCAGTTGAGACAATTATCTTTAAAGAATTTGTTAAAATTTCTGAAGATGTTTAAGCACAATTATGTGAAAATTTTGCTTACTTTGACAGATTTTCATTTGGGTCATCACTATAGGAATTAAAATAAAAACAAAATTGGATATTCAGAAATAATTACAATTAATTTTAAAATTGTTATTTTGAGTATGACCTACAGTCATTATTAGACTAACTTTCTTTCAGTAGATTCATTGGCTGGTCTTTGACTCTAAAATAAAACATATGCACATATATACATGTAACTATAAAATTCACATGTGCTGGCACTTACTCTCACAGATATAAATACATATTTTGTAAAAAGCAGGTGTAACATTAATAGGAATCCAGACACAATAGCATTGTCATCATCTCCAAATGGCCTTGGGGCCAACCTCTGCAAGGGTGAGGTACTACATGATACAGTTCTATCAAGTTCATCCATTTCTATGTCAATAGCAGTATCTTTAGTCAGCCCATAGCATCGACATTTTGGGTTTTGGGAATGATCTTTAACAAATATTTTGTCATAGCTGTAAATACAACTTTGAATGTCGCCTTCTAATATGCCTACTTCAAAATGATAACTATTCATGGAAGATAAATTTACCATATTTTGTCAATAATTCTTTAGATTCTTTCATTCTTTTCAACAGGTCTACAAGAGTGACAAGTGGTACCCATTTTTTAAGGTCAGGCTGTGCCAATGACTTCTCATATAATAGCTCTATACATACCGTAAATATAATTACAGCATTATGTATTATTAACAAACTTTCAATATGTAGATCTAGATCAACAGCCAGTGTTGATTCTCCACAATCCTATACAGGTATACATCAATATAGCTACAGGAAATGAATATTATTACAGTTTGTTCTTGATCACTCTTCTTTCTAACACAGAGTTTATATCCACTGTAGAGAAATATACATTCAACAAAAATACAAGAATTTAAAATGAGCTTTTAGGTAAGATTATGCCTTTACTTACCCATTTTCTTGAGGTGACTTTTTTGATAGCCCTTCTATAAAAACATCCAAATTCTAAAAAAATTGAATCAAATCTTGTACTCAATATAATTAAGTTGTCATACCCATAGCATATGTATAAACCTATACTTTGTGGATTCACATTGTGCTTCATAAAATGTCTCTATCTGATCCACCTTCCTTTCCACTTCTTTATGAATTATTTTGTCTATATCTCCATTATTCAACCTACAAGTTATTTGTTGAAAGATGTTATTTTTAAAAGTTTTGATTACAAACATTTTAAAGGAATCATACAAGAATGAGCTAAACCCTATAGCATAATAGCAATCCACCAAAAGAGACTTCTCAACCTATAGTTATTAATAGCAATTATTGTAATATCAATAATATTAATGACCTGCAACACTTTAAATTGGCTTTGCAACACACTCGAATCTTTACTGAGAGTAAGCTTTACAAAAAATAAAATAATTTGTACAACAAAACTTACGTTAAAAAGTTCATTTTTCTGCTGAAATATTCTCACTGCATAATTAAAATCAATAGCAACATTTTAGCTATCATTTATTACTTACAACTGACAGATAGATACAATGAACTTTCTACATGTTGAAAAACAATTTTATCAAAGTCACATGCTTCCTAACAAAAGTAGAGCTAAACTATTGGTATTGTAACACTATGTACTCTTTCTGTTGATCCAAAAATTGGTAGGATTCTTAAATTCAAACTTGATTCATTTGATTCATTTAAGTCACAAAGAATAACCTGTGTTGAATGTTGTTAATGAATCGTGCAATTTAATAAATAACTTTTTCTCCAGGAGTGACAGAGATATACTTCAACGTAAACAAGTGTTTAATTCTACACTTCTCTCCAAACTGAATTGGAGAACCTGGATGCAAGATAACAATATGAATAAATGAATTATAATTCTATTTATACCAACCAGGTGGTTCTGACACTCTCTCCAGTTGAAAGAATGTACCTGTCTCACCATACTCTGGTGACTTCTTAAATATTCCTTTAAATTTGATAAAACCAACTATTGTAAATAAAACATTTCATAATCTCAAACTCATTATGAAGGCTTGGTTTACATGACTGCATTTTAATTAAAATGGTAAAAACCAAGCAAAAAAAGAACAAATATAAAATCTATTTATCTGATTTTTTTTAATTTTATTCATTTCGAAAAGATAACTGTTGCCAGTGCAATGGTTTAATAGCTAATAACGCATGTGTGAACCTCTTAACAGTAAAAAAGCTCTTAATCCAGTGAAGCAGAGTTGTATAAATTATTCTGCTTGCTAGCCCATAACCTTTCATCTCTTCCTTGTGAGAATCCTCTTTAGTTAATGAGTACTTTAGGTATTCTTCAGGTTGTTCTACCCCGCTCTGTTGTTTTATCCTGCTCTGTTGTTCAGTTGGTTCTTCAAGTGAGCGGCCATTAGAACCACTTGTTTGTTCATGACCACTGGTTCTCTCAATTTCATCAAACTTGCTACTAAAAAATGATCCTGTAGCACACAGATATCCCTCAATATTCAGAAGAGTAGATATAATGATTGGACTGCCCCCCTATTGTTATATGTGCATGCATAATAGAATACTAATACAGTATACACACAATCCCAATGACTGTAGGCGGAGGGTCTGGGCAGCGAGACTAATGTATATACACGTGCATAAGGCATTGAAATTGATATTCATGTTATGGAGAGCATATTGGGACATAAATTCATTATACTGGTACCACCTCATTTGAGCACCTCTAATATGCGTTTTATTATCTACTCTTGATATTATCTACTCTTGGTGATACTGTGGTGAAGTACCTTTATACTCTTTGGGTTCTGTCTCAAATACTCATGACAGTATACTTTGACATTAAACACAGTACCACTAGCTTTTAGTGTTGGTCTATAGCTAAAAACAGCATGATGCCATCAATGAATGAATAAATTCAAATTTTAATACATACAATTTCCCTTGATAATCATAATGAAAATGGACCAGTGAATTATTATCAGAAATTAACTTCAACTTGATTAAATAATTTTTTTGGAGCTATAAAGATATTCATATATTCATACTAATTGCATGATGATACAAACACTTACTTCTTCACCCCATTCTAACTCGTGGTTAGGAGAAACAACTCTGAACAGAAGCTGTGGCATTCTATTATCATCTGAAGCTGTAGTAGCTTCAAATGATGATAGCTTCACTTCCTATACATATACAAATATAAAACCATCATGCAAAAAGATTTAGGTAACTTTGTTTTTTCCTGTCATAACATTATTGGAAGCTTGATGTTTCAACTAATATAATTAAAAAGTAGATCTAATTTATACAGTTTTTTAATTGCTGACTAACAGAAACAATACTGCCATAAGCAATCTTTTCTGTTACTGCTGTTGTTGATCCTTTTCCTTTACTGATGTTTGCATTTGTTAATTCTTTTTCAAGGGTAATACTAAACGCAGCAACTATAGTTAGTTATAGGCTAAATTAGTTCTTTAAACTCAAACTCTTACAATCAGCAATCTTGATCCTGTCTTCACTGACAATATCCAACTCCAGGTCAGAAGTACTATAAATGTATAAAATTAATATAATAATGATCAAGATTGGCATAGCACACTTATTACCTATTGAGTTCACTGTACACATAGCCAGACTCAAGTGGACAGTAAAGTTGAATGATGTCTCCATCATAAACATATAATGGAGTGTCCTCTGTAGCCATGCTTACTGCAGGCTAAGAGTGGTAGAAGACAACTGCATAAGATACACAATAATAAGAACAGAAACAGAAACATAATTATAATACTATTTGTCTTCCTTAAGTTAAATGAAATCAATAACAAACTGCCAAAACGAAAGATCAGAAAGAACTAGCAGCTGGTTGACATCCAAAGGAATTTTCTTCGGCCATGCACGCATACAAGATAACTTAGCTGCCTAAATTCCTCATAACTAGTTTAGCGGTAACTTACTATACACACTTTGAACTATCATTGTCTATCAAATTTGATAAAGTCATATGCTGTTTTGACAAGTTGAATAGAGTCTACTCTAAACTACAAATTACTCCATGAATTTGATAAACATTATTAAATGTACATAATAGAAGTGAAATGAAAAGAGTTGGCCACTAGTTGACATTCAAAGCAACTTCTTCCCACATCAAAAACACAGAGTAACATGTCTTTGGCCAAATTTTGCCAAAATGAAATAGAAAGGATTCTTAATTTTCATAATTTTTTCTGACACATATACATGTTTATTAGTTGTGTAGAAAGTTTGAGTCAATTCTGACAAAAATTGGTTTTTTTTACAAATTTTTAAAGTTGCACCAAAATCGGGTAAAGTCCCTGTACTATAATACACAGTCTTTGGCCAAATTTCACCAAAATTGAAAAGGAAGAATTCTTATTTTTATAATTTTTAAAAATACATATACATGTTTTTATGTTGTATAGAAAGTTTGAGTTGCTTCCAAAGAAATTTGGATTTTTTTACAAATTTTTGATGTTGCTCAAAAATTGGACCACAGTCCCTGTACTATAAGCAAAATTATAACTATCAGCAAAAACTATTATTATGCAGCATAAAAGTCTATCATTATTAGTTTTATGATAGTTCCATTAATCTACTTCAAACTGTAAAACTCACTAATCTATTACTAATTACATGTACTAGGCTATTAGTATCCAGCAAAGTTCAGATGGTATTTCGTCTCCTCATGTCCTCTGTTTGATGGTCTGCCTCATGTCTCACAACTAAACCCTGCCTCCTGTGTTCTTCTGACGCTTGTTGAAGCTGAGTGGACTGTTCCTCAGTTGCACTGTCCTGATGCTATTAAAAGATTAATACTGAACAGATTACTTGGTATAGACTATAGGTATACCTTATAATGTAGTAAAGATTTAGCTCTATGCAGCGGAAAGAAATCAATAGATTCTTTACCTTCATGTTTGACCTGATAATAAAGTAATGTCAATTTTGCTGAAGTATTTACTGGACATATCATACCTTTTCATAAACATATTTTTCCAGAGCATTGTGATCATTTTCATGACAACAGTGTTTCACATACATAATGAAACGCATGTAATTCCACATGTTATGCTCCTTTTCTACATGAGTCTTAAAATTCTTTTAAAAAAAGATTTATCCAGTAATTATATGATTACATATTCCATTAGAACTAACTTTATCAAACTTGCTTCTTTCAATACTGCAAATAAAGCACCTACTTTCATTATCTTCATTAACTTCATCCTAAATAATTTATAAGTATAGGTCAAATAATCATAAAAATTTCATTTACTGATTTCTCCCTCATTTCAGAAAATCTATCCACAAGTGTAGCAGTGATGATACTAAGACCAAGAGTTGTGACAACAATGAAAAATATAAGATCATAGAAAGTACGAAAAACATATAGTTTAAAGTCAGGCTCGTAGTCACTAGGACGAATATCAAGCTCCTATAGTCAAAAAGTAACAATCATCATCACAATATCTAATTCAGAGTAACATAACATACAGATCCTAAGGTGCTCAGTAGTCCCAAACGAGATACAGTGAAGAAGCATTGCAATAAACTACCACAAAACTGATCTCTATCTTCAGAGAAGTAATTATTCAAGAAAGCAAAACTGATGACAGCATAAATATATATGAAAATAAAACACAGCAAGAAGACTGAGGCTAGCCGTTTGACTATAATACAGAATTTTAAAACCTTGTTAATTAATAATACAAAACTTACTGCTTTTTTTAATAGCTCTTGAAATAAAAGACATAACATCAAACTTTAAAAATGGGTAGAGTATACATAAACAGTAAAGGTATCTTAGCCCTGAAAGTGGCGGGTATGGAATCCATGCCACAAATGAACAGATTGTGAAGAAGATACGATAGAGTGGCTGAAAACTAAAAAAAGGTATTTTATAAAACTTATTAGATTGCCGTGGCCCTTGTATATGAAGTCGATGAACTAGGTATCTGCCTAAAAGCATCTTTAAGGAGCCATAACTAGTGTGCAATTGCAAGTAATTCAATATAAAATATTTATGAACTGATGCTTACCATAATTCCTGGCATGAGAACAATGTCAAATTTCTCCCATTTCTATGAAAGTATTCAATTACCATCAGTACTGCCAGTATGAAATGTATAAAGCCAAGAATTCCCAAAATTATTGTAGACCACACTGGTATATCAGGATACCAGATGGGCTGGAAGTACATTGGACTGCTACTGGTACTGTTGTTACATGTTTCATTGTATGTTTCATTGGCTGTGCAGACTCCATCATTAGTATCAGGCATATTGTAACTGTTGCATTTAGAATAATTAAATCAAATAAATGATATACTTACTTTGGTGGAGTATTGACTGTAAAGAGAACAATCAAATTTAATAAAATTGTCAAGAATATCAAAAGAAGTTTGCTAAAAATTTGAACTGCACAATAAACTCATTCAATCAATATGCAACTTACTTTAAATGAAAAAACATACCGATACACAAGCTATTTCTAAAATTATCCTATAAACATAGCATAATCATAACTCATAAGTAATACTGCTTCATTCATAATCTACCTTTATTTTGTGAGTTTTTCCAACAGCTTTTGTCAATTTAATAAGATCAAGTAGTTTTTCTTGAGGAGTGCTTCTTTTGATTTCTAACTGTATATCATTCTTGCCTTTAATCTGTTTTATAATTATAATTTTAAGAACTTAATAATTTTGTTAACACTTACATGTAAATGAGGAGTAAAAGGAAAATATGCTCGAGTTACTATATCTTTGTCTTCATTTAATTTGTAAACAATTTCAACACTTCTAGACCACTGCTCACAGCATTTCCACATTGCTTGATGAACTTCATCATCCTTTTTATCTGGGCAACCTGACTCTTCATCATCCTTTTTAGCTGGGCAACCTGACTCTTCATCATCCTCTTTATCTGAGCAAACTGACTCTTCATCATCCTCTTTATCTGGGCAAACTGACTCTTCATCATCCTCTTTATCTGGGCAAACTGAATTTCACATAAGTAACAACTTATGCATATCATACATTACTTAATTTATCAATATTTCTTCCTTTATAGTCTGCAATTCGTTTTAAAATATGATAAACTCTACACAACTTTAATGTGTCCTCCATTGTATATTCAATAGATACTTTTAGCTTCCATAGATCACGCATTTCTTGATACAGTTTGTCTATTTTCAAGTGATCAGCTATAAAAATGGCTAATTTAGATGAATTTTCATCTATTTCCTCCAGCATCACCTCTAGCAATTTGATACATGAGGATTTTAGCTCAGCAAATGATTCACCCTGCAAAAATTGCATATCGTTATAATAAATTATAGCTTATAAGTTATTATATACATTTTTTTCCAGTATGCAATTGATAGAAGTGACAACTTGACCTTTATAAGCAATATGTTGGTTGTTGTAGTTACCAGTACACATTTTTACTAATGCTTTAACAGCTGTATGTGCTATAATGCCATTATTTTCATCCAAATGCTCAGTAATGTAAAACAGTAAGAGAGCAACTTGGCTGACAACATTAGAACCCTATGAATACAGATAATGCAAAAACCATAAAATGCTGTAAATTACGCTGATAAAAACTTTGCTATTTCTCATTGCATCTTGCATAACCCTGTGCTGCCTGTCACACAGCAGAATAATAATATCCAATGCAGCAGTGATACCCCTTTCTAATAAAACAGTTATAACAATATTAATGATTTATGGTAAACCTGTGTTTTTTAGCTCATCAGGTGTAGCTGAGTCATTCTGGCTATGGTTAGCATTGTACTATAAAAGTATATTAATATAAATAGTATTGACTTGATCTTACTATAGTATGAGCTTCTCTTAGCAATCGATGCACTTGAACTATATAAACATTATCATGAGCTTTACAGCTTGAAATCATCTTTTTCTGGACTTTTTTTGGTGCCCCAACTTCTTTGGGTGCTTCTTCAAAGCATTTCAGCATTTTCACAACTTGAAAAATAACTTCATTGTTTTGACTTTGTAGGAGATGAAATATCTATCAAAACTTAGTCTCTATAATTGACAATAATATGACATCTTACAGTATGTTCTTTATTTGAGTGATCATTAAGATATAATACAGATTTAAATAATTTCCTGATTTATATCTTAAAACTAATACTTTGCCATTTAATTTACTTTTCATTAAGCGAGTACTTCTCAGAAGGCAGTATTGCTTCTTTGATTACTATTTGTAGCAAAACCAGCATCCTTAAAATTGTTTCCTCTACATCAATTCGCTTAAAATAAGTGAGGCTTTTAATTTTTTGCAATTCAACCAAATTCCTGTAACACACCAATCGGTTCATTTATAATTTTATATACACACTTATCTTACTTCAGTGCTAGAATGACTACAGTTCTTACATTCTTATTATTAGCTTTTAGTAGGTTATATATTTCTTTATAATAATTTGATTGTGGCTCAATTGGCATGGATCTGTCTAAAAAGATTGCTTTTTGTCAACATGATATTAATGTTTTTTTATACCTCTTCTCACAAATTTGATTTTATTGTCTGCACTGTCAGTTTGGTTGATACTGCCATCTGAAGCTGGCCATGTAGTAGCAACTAGACAATTGATCTAAATTTCCTTTAAACTAATAACAACTACAATCCATTCTTTACTTCATATTTTTCTAGCAAAGAGTTGATCCTTCCTATGTGTCCAGATGTATTAAGTTGCTCCAATACAAAACGATAATTTTTAAGTAGCTGTAATATTTAATTGGAAAGTATGTAACTGTTTAACTTAATACCTCTAGTTGTTCTCGAAGACTTTGAAGCTCTTCTTTAGTACAAATGTGTTTTTCACTTGACTGATGAGACATTTCATGACAGACTTTTGACAAGAATGGTATCACGCCATCAGTAATGTACAATAATTCCATGACATGTTCCAGCTCTCTGTCAGGTTGCATATATTTTCCACCATCAACTATTTGCTGATGTATGGCCCAATGAGATTTACTAGTAATGCTTTTATCTTCTACTAGAACAAATCTCATTATTGTCTTATTAATATGTGACCAAAGTTTCCTAATGTAATATTCATGCAAGAGATCAATAAGAGTTTAATATACTTGTATTGAGAACAATTAGCGGTAAAGTGGTTTCCATCAAACAAATATGTCACTGTCAAAATACGAATAAATGGTAATTTTCTGTACATGATTACATCTTCACTCATTAAAACTCTACAAAAATGATACAAATAATTATTTTTTAGTTCAATTTGGGTATATATGTACTTACTCAATTAAGTTATTAAAAGTAAATAATTTCATAGCAACTAATCTGGCAGATTGACATTCTCCACTTGCACATGATGCCAAGAGATCAGTTATTGGCCTCGCCTACGCGAGGTATAGGTAGTTGTTGTGTGTGTCTGTCATTCATTCATTCATTCATTCATTCTGTACAACTGAAATTTGTTTTTAATAAACAATAACTTTAGCACAGCGTGTTCTAAGCTCCTAGATCTTTCTTTTTGACGTGGAAAAGTCTTTCTTAACTGTTTTGTGTTGCTCAAATACAAGTGCTAGGTACAGAAGCTTCAAAGTAAGAAAATCGAGTAGTTGGGCCAAGTTCCGTTGTGTTGGCACTTTAGAGA